ATATCTCTTTTATTGAAAAAGGAATATGTTCGGGCTGTTTTAGCCAGAAGGAGCTTACACATCCATTACTCCCTTTTCTGCCACCACGGCTGTGTCTAGACTGGCAAGTTTTTCCGCAAAAGCAGCTGCCTTTGTGGAAAAACTTGCCAGCTGTCTACACTGGCCGCTTGAATTTCTGCAAGAACACTGACCATCTCATGTAAGAAATCAGTGCTTCTTGCGGAAATACTAGGCTGCTCCCATTCGGGCAAAAGTCCTTTTGCGCAAAAGGGCCGGTGCAGACAGCTCCGATTTGTTTTGCGGAAAAAAGCCCCGATTGCGAAAATGGCCATCGGGGTTTTTTTGCGGAAAAGTGCGTCTAGATTGGCACGGACGCTTTTCCGCAAAAAGCACTTTTGTGGAAAAGCGTCCGTGCCAATCTAGACGCTCTTTTCCACAAATGCTTTTAACGGAAAACTTTTCCGTTAAAAGCATTTGCAGAAAATCATGCCAGTGTAGACGTAGCCTGTGTTACAAACTAGCCCAGCAGCCCTCCTGTCCCAAGTGCACGAGGGTAGAGTCATGATCCCCATGTCACAGGTGGGGAAACTGAGGCACCCCCCATTACACCACACGCTGCAGCGTGCTCAGGCTCCTGGCCCACCAAATGCCACCTCCGAGTATTAACTGCTCTGTCTTGCCTGCTGCCTGATTCCCTTCCTTTCCCTTGGTTTTTCAGTGGTACGTGCAAGCAACTTGTGCCACGCAGGGCACTGGTCTCTACGACGGACTGGACTGGCTATCGCATGAGCTCTCCAAGCGCTAGGTGGGTGGCCAGGCGGCCCACAGACCAGACGAGCATCGTGCCCACCTGGGATCGCCCTTCTGGGTTTAGTTAGTTTTTTGGCTTTGTTTTTTTCTCCCCACTGTGACCTCGTCTTCAATGATCTGTGTGTTTATCTGGTAGAACTTGAACCTTGAGGACTTTTCAGGCAGCTCCGCTAGTGCCCGGACAGCACTTTCCTGCTAGCCATCCCACCCCGAGTGCATGTGTTCTCGTTGCGTGGAGCCTGGGCCGGGTCCCTGTGGGGCCCGTTGGAAGGAAGGGAAGTGGTGTTCGCTGGGGCGGGCTATGTTCCAGATACCTCCACCGGCAGCTTGGGAGAGATGCCGCAGGGAACAGCCTCGGCCATCCCAGCCCTGCAGAATGGAACCGTTCCTCCTTTTTGTCCTTCCACGAACTTTATAATTGTTCCTCTGGGGGGGGGTGGATTGTCATGTGCTATTGTATATTGAGTAATAAAAACTCCACCAGTTTGTATCCGACGCCCTCTCTCGGTCTCGCCGGCAGGCAATCCCGGCCTTCGTGGGAGAGTTGGGGTCACTAAGGAGGCGAAGAGGGGGAGCTGCAGGGACACACTGGGCTGTAGAGTGTCAGGCTAGGGTCCCCGGTGTGCTGTGCACCTGGCACTGGCGTGAAAAGGGGTTGGGTGCATTGCGCTGGTATCTGGCCGCTCTGAATACGGAGCCTGGCTCCTGGATGGGCTGTTGCTCCCAGTGTGCCGGGGGCACTGGGACCTGCAGGATGAGACTGGGCATAGGCAGCCAGCTGCTCCAGATGTGGAAGGAGCTGGTGGGATCTGGTTACGCAGCAAGTAGCCTGTTGTCCCATGCGTGGCAGCTGGACTCAGCCGATCCTCTGGATGAAGGCTGAAAGTAATGTAGATTTCCAGAAAGCCTTTCACAAGGTCCCTCGCCAAAGGAAGTTGTCATGGAGTTCATGTCAGAGAGTTGTTGTTAACGGTTCTAAATCCTGCTGGAAAGGGATAACAAGTGGAGTTCCTCAAGGGTCTGTTTTGGGACCCGTACTGTTCAATATCTTCATCAATGATGTAGATATTGGGATAGAGAGTACGCTTATTAAGTTTGCAGATGATACCAAACTGGGTGGGATTGCAACTTCTTTGGAGGATAGGGACATAATTCAAAATGACCTTAGCAAGTTAGAGAAATGGTCAGAGGTAAACAGGATGAGGTTTAATAAAGAGAAATGCAAAGTGCTCCACTTAGGAAGGAACAATCAGTTCCATACATACAAGAGGGGAAGCGACTGTCTAGGAAGGAGCATGGCGGAAAGAGATCTAGGGGTCATAGTGGACCACAAGTTGAATATGAGCCAACAGTGTGATGCTGTTGCAAAAAAAGCAAATATGATTCTAGGTTGTATCAACAGGTGTGTTGTAAGCAAAACTCGTGAAGTCATTCTGCCGCTCTACTCTGCACTAGTTAGGCCTCAGCTGGAGTACTGTGTCCAGTTCTGGGCGCCACATTTCAAGAAAGATGTGGAGAAATTGGAAAGGGTACAGAGAAGAGCGACAAGAATGATTAAAGGTCTAGAGAACATGACCTATGAAGCCAGGCTTCATGAACTGGGCTTGTTTAGTTTGGAAAAAAGAAGATTAAGGGGGGACATGATAGTGGTTTTCAAATATCTAAAAGGGTGTCACAAGGAGGAAGGCGAAAATTTGTTCCTCTTGGTTTCTGAGGATAGGACAAGGAGTAATGGGCTTAAAGTGCAGCAGGGGAGGTTTAGATTGGACATTAGGAAAAAATTCCTAACTGTCAGGGTGGTCAAATATTGGAATAAATTGCCAAGGGAGGTGGTGGAATCTCCCTCTCTGGAGATATTTAAGAACAGGTTAGATAGACATCTGTCAGGGATGATGTAGACGGAGCTTGATCCTGCCTTGAGGGCGGGGGGCTGGACTCGATGACCTCTCGAGGTCCCTTCCAGTCCTATTATTCTATGATTCTATGATTCTATGGGATAAGAGGGACGGTCCCTCCATGGATTGAGAACTGGTTAAAAGACAGGAAACAACGGGTAGGAATAAATGCTCAGTTTTTTGAGTGGAGAGAGCTAACTAGTGGGGTCCCCCAAGGGTCTGTCCTGGGGCCCATCCTGTTCAACTAATTTATAAATGATCTAGAGAAAGGGGTGTGATGCTGCCTCGGGGTTTCCTTGACTCCTGTCCCCCTCCCCCCCCAGTGGCACGAACAGACTCCGCCAGCCAGTAGACAAGAGGGGGTTTATTGCTTCTCCATGGATGCAGCACAGCACAGATGTAATCTAGTTACAGGGCCAGGACTAGGATGGCTCAGACCCCCTTGAGATGGGGGAGCCTGGGCCCCTAAATCCCAGCCCCTTGCTTAGGCTGCTTCCTCCATGATACCAGACAAAAACTGACTCACCTCCAGCCCTGCCCCCCAGACAGGAGTTGGACCCTGCCTTCCTCCTTTTGTGTTTCTCCCTGGGAGGCGACCGGTCAGACAGGTTGTGAGACCCTGGCCTAGTGACTCATCCGCTGTCCTGTTGGGCCGTGCTACAAACAGCCGCCAGTGCAGGTCACCCACTGCTCAAGCCCAGCAACCAGCAAGGCACCCCCATAGCACACTGGGTTATAGAGCAGACCGCATGCCCCCACTGCGTTGCAAGGGGTAAACAGGGAGGTGGCAAAATTTGCAGATGATCCCAAACTGCTCAGGGTAGTTAAGAGCAAAGCAGACTGCGAAGAGCTTCAAAAAGACCTCACCAAACTGATTTGGCAACAGTATGGCAAATGAAATTTAATGTTAATAAATGTAAAGTAATGTACATTGGAAAAAAGAATCACGCCTAGACATCCTATATGATGGGGACTAATTTAGCTACAGCTACTCGAGAGAGATCGTGGAGTCATGGTGGAGAGTTCTCTGAAAGCATCCACTCAGTGCGCAGCAGCAGGCAAAAAAGCAAATAGGATGTTAGGAGTCATTAAAAAAGGGATAGAGAATAAGACAGGATCTCTTATTGCCTCAATATAAAACCTCGCTCCTAGACTCTGCCCCCCAGCCAAGTGGCCGTCTCTGCCTCCCTTTGTCTTTCCCCCAGGAAGAGTTTTGCTAACTGCTCTGGCTGGGGATTGCACATCACTGCACAGGGGAACCCTGGGGTACAGAACAGACAGCCCCCCCCCCACTACGTCACCACTCCGCATGACACGCACTAGGGTCACCAAATGGAATCAATAAGGAAGTTTTTTGTGTCTCAGTCCAAAGTCAACCTGTGGAACTCCTTGCCTGTGGATGTTGTAAAGACCAGGTGTGACGTAGTGGGGGTACTTGCTGGGCTGTGGTGACCCCTGCTGTCTGGAGCAAGACCCAGCAGGGAAAACCTCATTATGCAAAGCTAATGCCAAACTTGTTGAACCAGTGGCCAGACACCCCCCATGGAGAGGAACAAAGGAAGGTGGAAGGCTGCCCTGGCTGGGGGGCAGGGCTGGAAGTTAGTGAGTTGGTGGCTGGCTGTCTGTGAGGATGGAGGAGACAGCCTAGGGAGAGGAGCTGGAGTTTAGGGGCCCAGTCTCCCCCCAACTCAAGGGGGCCTGAGGCATCCTAGCCCAGCTCTGTGACCAGATTCCATCTGTGCTGTGCTGTATCCTGGAGAGGCAATAAACTTCCTCTATTCCACCGGCTGGTGCGGTCTGTTTGTGCCATTTCGGGGTGCAGGAGACGGGGAACCCCCAACGCGCCGTCACACCAGGACTATAGCAGGGTTAAAAAAATAACTAGATAAATGCATGGAGGTTAGGTCCATCAATGGCGATTAGCCAGGATGGGTAGGACTGGTGTCTATAGCTTCTCTTTGTCAGGGGCTGGAAATGGATGACAGGGGAGGGGTCACATGATGATTTCTTGTTTTTTTTCATTCCCTCTGGTGCTCGGGGCATTGGCCACTGTCGGCAGACAGGACACTGGGCTAGATGGACCTTTGGTCTGACCCAGTACGGCCGTTCTTATGTCCTATCACAGCCCCCGGGCGGGTGGAGGGGGGCATTGTGATACATCAGTACCTATAAGAAATGTAAGTGTGGGGTGGAGTCCGGGGAGGAGCCGCCGTGCTGCCAGCCGCTGGATCCCCCTCACCCTAACGTGCAACCCCTCTGCATGTTGCGCCTCCATCAGGTCGCCCTTGAGCACCACCAGGAAGCAGAGCCTGCCCTCCGGCCAACCCAGATGCTGAAACAGGCCCTGGCCTCTGAGGTGGCGGAGCTGGTCTTCGGGCTGGAGCAGGGCGTCCGGCCCCCTCTGCAGCTCCCAAGCCCTGTGGCACTGAACTGGCCACGCACAAGTCCCAGGGCTGCAGCTGCCAGGGCCCTGTAGGAACCACGAACTCCCCACTGCAGAGCTCGGCTGGTGGTGGCGCCTTCTCGGTCGCGTGGGGGCACGCAGTGGCTCAGCAGCGCCTCCACGGCCAGGCCCGGAGCCGCCATGCCTGAGCCTGGGGAGGCTGTGGCGCCTGATCCCGCCCGGCCTGCGCAAGGTCCCGTCGCTATGGCGACTCTGCTAGGCCCCCTCCATCCCAGGGCCGATGGAGCAGGTGCTGCGCAAGCAGGAAAGGGCCCCTCTGGCTCACGCCAGGCGACCTGCGCCCCGCCGGGAGCCGTCAGCCAGCAGCACCGGGCTCCTCGCCCCACCCGCAGAGCCGGCACGCGCAGCTGCCTGGTCCCACAAGTTGTCCAGGGCGGTGGGGCTGGAGCCTGCACAAAGTGGCAGCAGCATCCAGATCCCCACCCTCAACCGGCCAATCTCTCACTGGGCCCCCCTGACTGACTTTCGCCTGTGTGCGAGGCCTGCCCTTGTCTCCACGGAGCGATGTCCTGTCGTCCGACGCTGGGGCGCGCGTGTGGCCTGCCCCATCCCACTCTGGTAGCAGCTGGCCCATGGTACCTGATCTGCGATGGCTGATCAATGTCCAGTGGCCGCCTTTTGGGGTTGACGGGTCCTTTGTCCCAGGGCCAGGCCTGGTGCTCAGTTATTGTGTGGTGTGGAGCCCTGCTGTGCAGATGCAACATGCACACTCTAGGAACTCAAGTATATTTGCAAATGTAGTTTAGCACATGTAGTGCACACACCC